AACATAAAAGTATATCTACATAAGAAATATTACTTAAGTATAGGCTGAGTGATGTGCGAGAGAGTGTTAGGCCAAAGACTAAGTTGTATGTAATATGTTTTATATTATGTTATGTTATGTGTTAGGTTAATAAGATCATGGGTAAGTAGGGGTTAGTGACGGTGAACAACTAAATGACGATCTTAGGAATAGATCCAAAGTTTGGACTGTCCAATTTTAGGTAGAATTCCAAAATTTTAGAGAGCAATTGATTTTAATAAATTTTAGGATAAATATCTTTTTATCTGAACTGTTTTTAAGCAAATTTTAACGATATATGTTAAGGTGAAACTGACAAGTGTGATAATTGTGACTTCTTTTCTAGATCCTGATTGATCATTTAATTACTCACTTGAGTCAAAACCTTGGAATCGAATCAAAACCGAATCAAACTTGAAAGAATAGAATGGATAACTTCAACTTGGATGAATTGATGGACCTGGCAGAGGCATATGTAGGACCGATGATAGATGCGATCTATCGTCGGTTGATCGATCGAGACTTCGCTCTGGAGGACCCAGAGGTAGTCATGTTGCTGACCGCCCTGATCAACATCTTGGGGCACGACAACCGTGGGGACCGCCCCACGGAAGTCCTGTTGATGGCAGCATATGGAGAAAGAGGAGTACTAGACCGCCCGAACATGAGAGTGATGAGGTGGAGAAACGGGGCTCTCTCAGGGAGTGACTTGGCGAATGAGCCTGGATTGGGAAGTTCTAGGACTTACCAACCAGGTGAGATGCCAATGCCCTCCAAGCCCAAACCTGGGTTGACGAGAATGTATCGGGAGATGAACAACGAGGCGACCTCGTCTGGTTCACCACTGAGAGCAGCTGTGCCACCAAAAAGGGCGAAAGTAGCACAGAAAGTTCAGACGAACCAAGCCATGCAAGATCTGGATGAGATGAACGATGAACTGAAAAGTACGAAGAAGGAGCTGGACGATATGACCAAAAGTATGCTCCAGATGGAGGAAGATCGGGACATGTGGAGAAAGTTGTTTGAAGATTGCAACAAAAAGCAAGGTCAAGAGATTGAGCGCTTGAGGCAGGACTACAAAGAGCGATCGGAGCAGATGGCGTTGACAACGGCCGTGGAGAAAGTGATACCTGCAAGGGATATTCCTCGTGGGCAGTCCCCGATGGAGCTCTTGACGCCTCGAGAAATGAGTCAAACAACGGAGACACGACTCCCAGTAGAGAAAAATCGAGTAACGATCCCGGATCCTAGTGACACCTTGGGTGACCCCGTCGTGGAACAGACAGTGAGGAAGCTGATAGAGACAGCTGGACGACTGGTCGCTAACAAGAATGCGCCAGGTTCCGGGGTGACTGCACCCTATGGAACGATTGACAACACGGGCAGAGTACAACTCTCCCAGACCGTGATCAGACAGGGGATAAGTGACGTGACACCATTCATGGGGAGCTCGAGAATCCCAGAGAGGAAAGTACGGAAGATGCCAGCGAAGAAAGTGTCTCGCATAATAGACGTGCAAAAGAATAATCAATTGAAATATAATTTCACGGGAGTTCCGGAGACAGATCCGAGGGCCTGCTTCAACCGAGCTACTTGGAGCCCGGCTGTAAACCTGCAGCAACCACCACTCGGGACATCTCATCTGATACTGGGAGACAGCTTGGTCGGAGTGCTGTCGAACTTGAGGACCTCGTGGGTCACCACGGTGATGGCCTTTGGAGGCGCGACAACAGCCCAATTGTATCGATTGGTGGAACTCATGAATCCAGGGAGGATCCCCAATGTGATGATCTTAGTTGGGACGAATGACATCTCCAGAGGTTCAGATGAGCAGGAAGCACTATGGGAGTTATGATGGCGATACGATGGCTGGAAGCTCATGTGAGAGAAAATAATAGACAGGAGGCACCGACTAGAGAACAGTTGCGGACGTTAGATTGTCTAAAAAATTTAGATCTTTTTGAGACAAAGTGCAAAATTCTAAGCATTCCGATGGAAGTGAAGAAGATATGGGCAAGAAAACGATTGATGCCATGGTTCAGAGCTAACATGACTGCATGGTTGTACGAATATGCTAAGAAGCATATGTCGAAGCACGGCAGAGTGTACAGTGAATATCAGCTGGACATTGGAGCAGGAGCTTTTAAGCGAGCTCTCGTGACTCATCGGAATGCAGTGACCACCGCTGTGAAAAGAATTTCCAGGACGAGTGAACGTAGTGGAAAGGAGAAAGCAGAGATGTTAATGGAAGATTTGGAGAGAAACGTGACGTTGTGTCTCCACAACAGCTTCTGCAGGAACAGAGAATCTAACGTGGATCCCCTACCTTGTTGTAAACAGAGGGTAGAAGAGCAGAAGTGTTGGAGGACGGCTTCCAGCAGCGTCAGGATAGCTAACGACGTGTTACAAGATACAGAGACTGAGAGTGCAGAGTCAGAATCACAGGAGGAAGAAATGGAGCATTGACGGATGACCAAAAAGCAAGATGGAAAAAGAGACAAAAATTAGAAGAATTTAGAAGTTTTAGAACTTCTAAACGACGAAAAAAGAAGAAAACAAAGGAGTAATGAAGAAAAAGCTAAAACTCAGAATTGTTTTATGTGTGTGAAAAAACTCAAGTGAGAAACTAAGCAACCAAGTTGTAATTGAAAACTGAAACATTTAGTTGAGTTTTGAAATTGTTGCTTTATAAATTTGCATTTTGATTTAAATCGAGTGGCTTTAGAGACACTCACTTACTATTTATTTAGAAAGGCTCAAGTGAAGGAGTATATTTAAATATTCCAGCCTGCATGACTGTTTTTAATCAGCTAGGAGAACTGATCACTTTGTGGTGACATGGAAGGCTTGAGTAATCTCTCGAAGAGGGAGATTGTTTCATTGTTCTTGCTAACCACAGAATTTCTTAGTTTTAATATCCAGGACAATAACAAGCAAGATTTCCGAAGGGAAGAAGCATAGTAGGATAATTTTAGCTTGTTGGTTGGCAGGACTGTCCTGCAAGCCAACACCTTTTAAATCTAAGAGAAAAAGTTTTAGTCGGGACATTGACATTGGAAGTCAGAAAATATGTTTTATCTTAAGTCATATCCTCAAGGTGCAGATAAATGAAAGAATTTGAAGGCTATAGTGATGTAGTATGATGCCATTTGTGTTCTGTAGTGAGTCGATGTGACGTGGATAAAAGTAATTTCGTGCATTTTGTAAATTCTGTTCGATGACACTGTATCTATTTTACGAACATTGCGTGATTCAATGAGGACATTGACCGGACTGTCCGGGGAGTATGTGACATTCGACCAGAATGGTCAAAATGCAATCTCTGCAGAATTCGAATTTTTAGCAGCGAGCCTTCCGGATCGGTGATTATTAAGAATTAAGAACGTTATTGGAACGATCGAACAAAACGTGAAGGTTAAAGGATTCGGGAATTGCTAATTTTTAAATTTTCGAAGTGATTACGTAACATTTCTGAGAAACGTCAAAAACGGCCATTTTAGCAAAAAGAACTAAAAAAAACTGAACAACATTAGCTGAGAAATACGGAAATTGTGAGAAAAAACGACAACAAATCACGGAGTTAACAGAGAGCACTCCGAGTTGCAACTATTGTGTCGCTACAATAGTTGCAAGGCCGTTGCAGATAACGGTGAAGGGTGGAAGACAGCCTTCCGGATTACGAGGAAATCAAGATTAACGAGCTTGATTCAGTGGATTCAAGAATCCGGAAGGGTTTCGGAACTGAAACTTTTATCCTTTTGTATAAACTTTTAGCTTCTTGTCATGTCCTGAGTTGAATTTAAGTAACAACTAGATTCATTTTGATAAGGATGAGAAGCTAGGAGTTGGGGGAAAGGGTTGATCCATCTTCGATGGAGATGATGATTTTTATCTACTGAACAAAAACAGTAGTAATATAATAAATAGCAGTAGCCCTGTTTTTAGGAGTGACCTCGTGGTCTGGGGATACTGAGACCCAGCCATGAGCTCACTAACTTTGCATGTAATTAAGTTAATTTGAGCGTTCTGGTCGAAGCCGGAGAACAGTAACGTTTTTGTCGACCCGATGTTGGAAAGACCACCGAAAGTACTGGCTTGGTAGAGACGGTGAAAAGCATGTAAAACTCTGTTTAGACGTTGGCCAGTCGTCTTAGGACTTAGTTTTATTTTCCGTCGATATGTATCTTCCGGGCGAATGTTACATACATGTTTTTATGGCGCTCCTGGGTGTTATTCTTTTTTAACATCATGACCGGCAGAACCGTTAACGAGCACTCCGCGCCGAGCGGATGCTCACATTAACGCCCTTAATAGGCCTAAACCGCCGGGGCGGAAGGGTAGTTCGGAACGCGGAAGCCCTCCGGATTACCGTGAATAGCTTTTTAACTTAGTTAAGACCGAAAATTCACGAACCAGGAAGGGTGGGGGGATCGGCCATTCCCTCGTTCCCTGAGAGGTTTGTGACCAAAAACACTTAAAGATATATATAAAACCAAACAAAAAGTAGTATAGTACCCAAGAAAAACAAAAAAAGTAAAAAATCAGTAGAAATCATCCCCCCAGACGAGATGTGATCCGACCCCCCCTTGTTGTTGATAGATATATTGTTGTTACAGGCATTTATATCAGTCAGGATCGTTACGATCAATTTTGTAGCCTGTTTGTGAGGCTTGTACTGTAGGGTTATTTGAGCATTTATTTAAGCACTCAATTCGGAACTGAACAAAAACAATAGTAATATAATAAATAGTAGTAGCCCTGTTTTTAGGAGTGACCTCGTGGTCTGGGGATACTGAGACCCAGCCATGAGCTCACTATTTTTGCATATAATTAAGTTAATTTGAGCGTTCTGGTCGAAGCCGGAAAGCAGTAACGTTTTGTCGACCCGATGTTAGGAATGATACACTTATCCAGATCTGACGTTGTTTGTATCGCGATGTAGCGAATGTTTTTGTAGACCTAGCTTGATTTATTTCAGGCTCAATGATTGATTCCGATGACGAGGATTTGAATCCTACGAAGGAATCTGTTATAAAGCTTTGCTTGTTAGGTAATGGAGCTAGTGGAAAGACATCTATCGCAACTGTATTAGCGCAAAACTCATTCAATAAGCAGTATGCGCAGACAGTAGGACTAGATTTTTTCAGAAGGCGAGAAGAGTTGCCCGGAGGTAGAGTGGTGCAACTCCAAATATGGGACGTTGGCGGACAACAAATCGGAGGGTCTCTTTTGCCAACCTATATTTCAGGAGCTCAAGGTAAGTTCTTGCAAACTGTTACCTCTATAAAGTCATTTGTGTTCATTGTTCTATCTGCGCAATCTTTTATGCTGGATATTTGAGAATAATTGTGCGTTTAAGTAAGTTTATACAGGCCACCATGTCTGGTTGGTCAAGGCTTTTGGTACTGATGTACGGGTTCGGATCTAGCATATGTAACATTCGCCCGGAAGATACATATCGACGGATAACAAAACTAAGTCTTAAGACGACTGGCTAGCGTCTAAACAGAGCTTTGCATGTTTTTCACCGTCTCTACCAAGCCAGTACTTTTCGGTGGTCTTTTCTAACATCGGGTCGACAAAAACGTTACTGTTCTCCGGCTTCGACCAGAACGCTCAAATTAACTGAATTACATGCAAAAATAGTGAGCTCATGGCTGGGTCTCAGTATCCCCAGACCACGAGGTCACTCCTAAAAACAGGGCTACTATTTATTATATTACTATTGTTTTTGTTCAGTAGATAAAAATCATCATCTCCATCGAAGATGGATCAACCCTTTCCCCCCCAATTCTTAGCACCTCATCCCTGTCAAAACTAATTCAAATATCAGTTAAATTCAAGTCAGAACATGACAGGATGCTAAAAGTTCATATGAGTTAATAAAAGTTTCCGTCCCGAGACCCTTCCGGATTCTTGAATCCAGTGAATCAAGCTCCTTAAGTTCGAATTCACGATAACACGGAGGGCTGATTTCTTACCCTTCACCGTTGTTCGCAACGGCCTTGCAACTATTGTAGCAGCACAATAGTTGCAACTCGGAACGTTCTCTGCACACTGCTGCTGTTTTTCTTCAATTTCGACTTCTTCAATTTCGATCAAGTTGTTCTCGTCAGCGCTGTTGTTCTCCTTTTTTCACTTGTTGTTCTCCTTTTTTCACTCGTTTTTTGTTAAAAATGGCCGTTTCAGCATTTCTCAGAAATGTGACGTCATCATTCGAATTTTTGAAATTTTAAAATACTAGAATATTCCAGCCTTCACCGTTTGGCTAAACGTTCCAATAACGCCCTTAGTTCATAAAAACCACCAATCCGGAAGGCTTACTGCTAAAATTCCGAATTCTGCAGAGATTGCATTTTTCACATTCTGGTCGAATGTCACATACTCCCCGGACAGTCCGGTCAATGTCCTCATTGAATCGCGCAATGTTCTAAATGGTTAGTGTCATCGAACAGAATTTACAAAATGCACGAAATTACTTTTATCTACGTCACATCGACTCACTGCAGAATATAAATGGCATCATACTACATCACTATAGACTTCAAATTCTTTCATTAATCTGCACATTGAGGATATGACTTAAGATAAAATATTTTTTCTGACTTCCAGTGTCAATGTCCCGATTAAAACTTCTTCTCTTATATCTAAAAGGTGTTGGCTTGCAGGACAGTCCTGCCAACCAACAAGCTAAAATTATCCTACTACGCTCCTTCCCTTCGGAAATCTTGCTTGTTTATTGTCCTGAATATTAAAACTAAGAAACTTTGTGGTTAGAAAGAACAATGCAACAACCTCCCTCTTCAAGAGATTACTCAAGCCTTCCACGTCACCACAAAGTGATCAATCTTCCTAAGTGATTAAAAACAATCATGCAGGCTGGAATATTTAAATATACTCTTCCCTTAAGCCTTTCTAAATAAATAATAAGTGTCTCTAAAGCCACTTCTGTTAAAATCAAAATGCAAATTTATAAATGCAACAATTTCAAAACTCAACTAAATGTTTCAGTTTTCAATTACAACTTGGTTGCTTGGTTTCTCACTTGAGTTTTTCACACACATAAAACAATTCTGAGTTTTGACTTTTCTTCATCATCCCTTTGTTCTCTTCTTTTTTCGTCGTTTAGAAGTTCTAAAACTTCTAAATTCTTCTAATTTTCTTTCTTGCTGCCTCTTGTTTTCTCGACCATTCGTCAATGCTCCATTTCCTCCTCCTGTGACACTGACTCCGCACTTTCGGTTTCCGTGTCTTGTAGCACGCCATTGACTATCCTGACGCTGTTGGAAGCCGTCCTCCAACACTTCTGCTCTTCCACCCTCTGTTTACAGCAAGGTAGGGGATCCACGTTTGATTCTCTGTTCCTACAGAAGCTGTTGTGGAGACACAACGTCACGTTTCTCTCCAAATCTTCTTTCAGCATCTCTGCCTTCTCATTTCCACTACGCTCACACGTCCTGGAAATTCTTTTCACGGCGGTGGTCACTGCATTCCGATGGGTCACGAAAGCTCGCTTGAAAGCTCCTGCCCCAATGTCCAGCTGATATTCACTGTATACTCTGCCATGCTTCGACATATGCTTTTTCGCATACTCGTACAACCATGCAGTCATGTTAGCTCTGAACCATGGCATCAATCGTTTTCTTGCCCATATCTTCTTCACTTCCATCGGAATGTTTAGAACTTTGCACATTGTCTCAAAAAGATCTAAATCTTTTAGACAATCTAATTTCCGCAATTGTTCTCTCGTCGGTGCCTCCTGTCTATTATTTTCTCTCACATGAGCTTCCAGCCATCGTATTGCCATCATAACTCCCACTATCACTATTGTTACGGGCTGTGATGAATCTGGTAAACCCATGGAGAGCAGCTCTCCAGAGTCCCAGATCAACATCAGATTACTACGCTTGGGATACCACCAGGTCTGCAGCAAGCAGTGGCAAGGAAACTCATCATGCGTCAACATGATGCTCCTCCAATTACGTTTTCCCGAAGCTTCCAGCAATGGTTCCACTTCCATCATCACTCGGTGGATTTCATCATTCTCATCTACTGCATTGTAATCTGTGACAGTTGATCCTCCCTGTTTCTGTTTTTCGAAGTCACTGAAGTTCCCGCTCACATATCCCATGAACTTCTTTCCTAGTATTGACTCCAACTCTTCTTTTGTTCTCTCTGGAATTGCTGAGAACATTTTACATAGTAACTCGTAAGACTTTTCAGACATCCTCGCTAATCTCACACACTTCGGCACTGAGAAGGCTTGATCCACAATCGCTCTTGTACTCTTTACGTCCACAGCTACGAAATGTACAGGATATCTGCTCTTGCACATTGGAGCCAACGTTGAGCCCACCAAATATCGTGCTCCTGATGGTCTACAATAAGTTTCGCTGTGTCTGATGTTCATCTCTGTTTCGATTGCTTCCCTCCATTTTCCTATATACTTCTGCTCAGTCTGCAGAACTCCTGGGAATACTTCTACGCTGATGGCTGTGACCATCTCATGTTTCTGTTCTAGATTCAATAGTGACTCTAAAGAACCAAACATGCTGTAGAATCCTAGTGCTGTCACTAGATTCACATCGGTTCCTCCATGGCAATCTGCTATCAGTTCCGTTTCCGTTCTTGCTTTCATCACTACATTTCCAAACAATACTGTCAACTGCTTGTGTTGTTTCTCCAGGGTTTTCACACAGTCTAAACTTCCACAAACGTGACCCTCTAGTCCACAGACTTCCGCCAGACAGCTACCAGGTTTGACCCAGTCTTCTGGTCCCCAGCCAGGCAACTCCACTTTATCTTCTCCGTTGCTCTTAGAGGCTGTTATCATCACATTATATATGATGTTGAGGTCACGCAGGTTGCAGTCTGCATTCAGTTCCCTCTGTACGTCTTGTGTCGCCCGTAATATTGAGTCAGCGTTGGGACTAGGACACCATGATGGCCTCATCAATTCCCACACTGCCATCAAGCTCGTTCTCAGTAATTCATCTGAGAATCCCAACCCAAACTCCACTCTCTTGTCGGATTTTGGTACTGAAGGTGCAGTCACCTCTTCTTCCAAGACCAGTCCCAATTTGGCCTGTGAATTGTTGACGCTTTTAATCGTTACAATTCTGGACGTCCAAAATCTTAGTAACACCGCCTGCTCATAATCAAAGAAGCAATCACGTATGTCTTCACTCAGGAAAGGATTGTACGCTATCCCTAAGATCCCAGATACATAGCTATATGACTTCTTCTTGATCGGTCCACAGTATTCACTGGATTTCGGCAATGCTCCCATAGATTCTTTAGTGAGTCTCAACTCCTTGTTTGAGAATCTCCTGATCTCGTCTATCTTTTTCATGGGTTCCAATTCTTCAGGTTCTTTCATGTTCACCCTCATCGGTTTACTTTGCTGCATCTCCAGCATTGCTAGTAAGAACAAGGCTTTCGTTCGCTCATCGCCTTCCCTCAACATTTTAACACAAGTGTTTAATGCAGGTACTGAAATCTGCTCTATCAGGAATCGAATGAAACAGAGAGCGTCTCTCCGCTTCGCACACGCTACTGCTGCTCCCTCCTGGACTATCAGATCCCTCAGATTCGTCATAAGGAAAACCTTTTCTTCTTTTGATCTCTTTCTTTCTGAATCATATTCTTCGCGAGTCAGTCCCATCATACACCAGGCGAACCTGAGTTGTAACTCTGTCCTTACGTAAGGTACTGCCACGAGAGCATGTATTCTTGGCGTAGTCCTCATTTCTTCCTCGAAATACCTCAACACTACTGCTTTCCATGGAAGGCTCACTAACTGCTCGATCGTTTCCGCCTCTACGTCAGACGACGCCAAAGTTCTATACGCCTTCTGCTTGAGGGTGGTGCCTTGCAACATCATTTCCAGATAACCCTCCATGGCTTTTTCGTCTTCCAGGGCCATTACATACCCTCTAGCCGAGTTTCGGTATTCCAACATCTCCATGTATCCACCGGTGGGTTCATCTATCGACACTGTCTCCGACACGGTTAGTCGGTTGTATTCCACTGGTGTTAGTTGTCCTGCAACACTTCCCTTTCCATGATTCATGGGAGATGGCTTGAAGTCCCTCATTTTGCTCTCTCCACATTGGCTGAGTATTTCCATTTCTAAAGTTGCTCCAGTCAGAGTGCGGTCACTCCTTTTGGATTTATAACCGGTTGACTTTATTCCCGCCATGAGAATGGGTGGCACCATCGCTATATCGGTTAATATTCTATCTGTGCCAGACAATT